CTTTGTGAATCGCAATTTAAGCGCTCATGTCCTCATTGTCTTATCCCTAAAACTGGCAGACTTTTTAGCTTTCCGAATCACACTGTCAGCTTGCTTGCTGGGCAGATGAGAATTCCTTCGTGGGCCTAAATATCCCTCAGCACTGAAAAGCGTCCTTCATCTGAATTTATCTTGGGAGGCTATCTGAGTCCCTGTTTAATGTCTCCTGTTGAAAATAAAGCTCTTCTTGAAGCAACCATTAAGACAAATGCATTTCATTCTATATTGGTATGTGTTTCCTCATTCAAGCTCTGCTGTTTATTTGAAAGTAATCATCCCTTTATTTAAAGGATTACATTCCATCAATTGGTAACTTAAAAGATTAGACCATTGAAGGAGGAAGGAAACACAGAATCCCAAGCACATGCGGGAAAATGCATTCACTCTCGTTACTTCTTACACTGTTGCCCGCCTGTGTCCCTAGCATTGCGCTGTGTCAATGAACATATGCTTCTGGTAGTTAAAACAAGCTTGTGTTGTGTGACATTGGTTAGCCTGCCTAGTACCAGCACTTGAATGGTCCTGAGTGGCTGCCCCCTTTCCACTGAGCATAAAAAAGGGCAGGCTGGCTTCACCCCGTATTCAATGAGCCTCTCACGATCCCTCCCAGTGGAGGACGCTCTGGCCCTCTTCCATTGTTCTCCTGACAAATGGTGAATGTCCTCCATTTGCAGCGTCTGACCTTGACTAATTATGCACAATTGGTGCAGCTGGCCCTTCGCTGCACCCCAGGACAGGCAAGCGGCTCCTTGCCGTCGCTGCACAACTTGAGTTTGAGAACTTCATCGCCGCGGACAATGCCCGCTCTTTGTGCGACTCGGGGTTCGGCAACGCCCTCTGTTACCATATGTTGACAAATAAATTTATATTCATACTGTGCTTTGTCCCTAAATGTTTTAACTGGCTATTTTAAAGTAGGTTGGAAAAGTTTCCTGGAAGTTATCTGTCCAAGTGGCTCTGCTAAAATGAGAAAGAAAGAAAAAAAGACGAAGAGAAAATGCACAAGACACCCTTGTGGTTATTGATTGTTACTGTTTTTCCAGTCACATTTTGTGATTCACTGTGAATATTTGCATGACTGATTCTTTATTTTTAACAGTGGGCCAGATAATCACAAATAAAGGTAACCCCTGTGGTTAATGCCGTCTACAGGTTTTCCAAAAACAAAATCAAAATGACATACACTTTTTGATTTCATGTCAAAGTAAATGCAAAATATGTTTTTTCAGAGGTTAAAATGGAATAAATCCTTTAATTCTGAAAGCATATTTCTAACAAAAGGTTCTTTGAGGTGTAATTTATTACAGCATCCATTTTCCTTTACATTCTCTTTTGTGTTTCTCTCTACCTTAAGCATATTTTAGTAGTCAGTTTTTAAGCCAGGCATTTTTAGGGGAAAAACAAGCTTTAAAAAATTTCTTGCAAAAAAAAAAAAAAAGCTAAGGGGAAAAGTGGTCTTTAAAAATATATAAAATTTAGGATATTAAAAGTGGTAATACAAAAATTATAAAATATAACAATTATATAAGAGATCTAATCTAGTGTTTTAATACTACAGCTCATTTGTAAAATAGCCACATGTTGTGCGATAACTGAACAGTTCGACCTTTCCATACAGGGCTGACAAGAATCCCATATTGTGATCCTAATCAAGATGCCATTTCCAGACCACTTTCTGTGATGAAGGTGTAACTTAACACTCCTATAGAAAGCACATATGGCTGTGTCTAAATTTGCATATTTAAATATGCAGGTGGAGTCGTAGGTATTTATGATAGAAAATGTCTGTTCTCTGCAGCCCTGGCTGGCACACGCACCAAAGGGAGCTTTCCCTGCCGACACAGGGCAGAAGCAATTTTAATCCTCCTGCTTTACCCTGGAAGATCAGGGAAGGAAACATTTAAAATATTAATCTAAAAAAATATGAAATTTTTAAAATGGAAATATTTTTAAAGGAATTATATCCTCAATTTCAAATAAAACCAAATTTTGATAAGAAGTCTAGAATTCTGTAAGAAGGTGGGAACCACCCTTTCATTTCTTGTGTTTTTATGTGTTGCTGATGGTAATCAGTTTTGTATACTATAAAGCCGTGAAGCAAAATGACTGACTGTCCAGTGTATTTGTGTGTGATGTGAAGGAAAAAATAATTGTCAACAACAAAAAATAAGAAAGCATGTATGGGAACAAAAACACCTGACTTTGTTGAAAGAACAAACTTTTTTTAAGACTTTTATTACCAAGTCACACAAACTTTGAAACAACAATTGCAAATTAGATATACTAAAAATCCCTTTGAAAATTTAAAAACTCTCATATTAGTGGAAGTATTAAAATAGCTTTCTTCCAAACCAGGTCTTACTGTAGGCTTTTCATTAATTTTACTGATACTATGAATCACTATGTATTTGATCAGTTCAGAGCCTTTATTTAGGCTCTGTTGTTTTGTCTTTTGAAACAAGAAAAAAATTTTTCTTCTTGCTAGCAGAATTTAATTTTTTGTACCACTGCATATTAAATTGTTGCAATAATCCAATAGTTTAAGTGTCTTTTGGAAAGATTTTGCTTAATTTTGTTGACCATTGAGATCTTCACGTTCTGAAGACACCATGTGCATTGATTATGTACGTGCCAGTATTCCTGTAGAAAGAATATCATGGTACTTCCGCCCTTCTTGGTAGAGGTTTGATTAAAATGCACGTCTGCCCTGATAGCATCAAAGAATGGATTAATGCAAGTTTCCACTTAGCTGCGTGTGATTCTCAGTGTTTGTCTTCCCCAATTTAAGAGGTTTCAGTTATTTTGCAAACCTCCACAGCAGCGCTGATGCCTTCAGAGAAAGGTAGCTAATGTCTTCTTCAGAGTGAAGTGATGGCAGAGATAATTCTGAGGGCTGGTCATAGTAACACATGCTATTTTAGATCACACACCTATCATGCTGGGGGAACAAAAATCATGGAAGTTTTCTTTAAGATTCGACAGTTTCAATGGGGAATCAGTAGGAAAAAATAGTGTACCTTTAGGTTGTGTGCCAAATTTTCAGTTTTTTCCTTAACTCAGATCAGACAGTATTTATTTTAGTGGAAAATGGGGAGCCCTCATTTCCAGTAAACTGTCACAGGGGGAAAGATTGAGCCTCCTTCAAAGAGCTCTGTGAACTGTAATTCAACACTTAGAGATTCTTAGTTTACTCAGCCCTTTGCCCACAAATAATCTGAAACAATCTGAAGGGGAAAAATGGAGCAAACACCTGGCTTGTATGTCAAAACTCCTTTTCATTATCTGTCCACAACTTGAAGCCTTTCTAGAGCTTGAAATAATGACCATACCCAGTTGGACACTGAACATAAAGTCACATTTTCCAAGAAATTTATAATCCAAAATGTTCGACTTTAAGTTCACCTGTCAAATGTGTTTTACACATGATTGTTATCTTTTATGATTACCACTGGCATTTCCCACAGTGGATGAAATAGAGAAGAACCCAGACAGAATTGGAGCTGACTGGTTGGCAGGGCTGGGGGAATGCCCACCAGCCTGGAGAGACCACGTGGAGAGGGGTGGCCAGAACCTCTTAGCAAGAGATTCTTAAAGATTCATTAGAAAGACTGTTCTGGTATATGACAAATTCGTAGATGTAAAGACATGCATGCTAAGCCCATTTCTAGTTCAAGGGGAAGAAAAAGTTACTGCTGACTTGCTCAGGTGAATGATGTGGTGAGCATTCATTTTTTAAATCTAGAACTTTCTCAGACTGGAAGGCAACAATTGTCAGAGGCTGTATGTTGGTGAAACATCACATCGGGTTGCTGGCAGTTTACACACACCTCGTCCGGGAGCTGGCATGGGCAGGAGGCCATGTGTCGAGAAGACTGGATGTCCTGCACACGGGCACCCTTCTCCTGCCCAAGGCTTGGGGTCCCTGAGATGTGCCCAGCCTTCAGTTAGACATCTCTCTGCTTCCTACCCCCAGTTCCCACTCAGACTTCCTCCATCAGCCTCCAAACACCTCTGAATCTTTCTTTAGTTGGCTGGAGGGCAGCTCGCATTTACCTGTGTCCAGATGGTGGCCAGGCATTTGGCCCCATGCTCACCATCAGTGTAAGTGTCATGCGGTGGTGAGTGAGTGCAGAAATCGTATGTGGTCAGGTGTGTTTGTTTTTCTATGCAAGTATTCAAGCCCTGGTTAATTATTATAATATAGTAAAAATACTAGCCAGAGATAGTATCTAAACAGTGCCCTATTTACTGTGAAAGTCAGCAAATAAACCTCTAGCAGTGGAAAAGAATCCTTGTGGGCTTTTCCTTACATGTTTGTTAACACAGATCCGTGGGAAGTTCTGGAGTTAAATAACTGACATATTTTTCATAGAAAAAAATGCAACTACTGTCAGTATCATCATCCATTTTTCAGAATTGTTTGCCTGAGAACCAAATAAAAAATAAGCTATAAGCAGAAGCAAATCTTGGTCCACTCACCTGTAAAATGGAAACAATAGTGCCCTCCTCCTGGGATCATTTTGAATATTAAATATTTGATAACTGCTTAGTGTAATACATGGCACAAGGGAAGTGTTTTTTACTCAAAGCAAGAGAAAGAAAAAAAAAGAATAAAACCTCCAAATCGCTCAAGAGTATCTCTGTCTCTCAAACCCACTGTGGATCTGGGGCTGGGGAATAAGGGGAAATGCTCCCAAGCTGCCCTTCCCCTCCAGGGGCTCCAAAACTCACCTCTTAGAATTTGAAGCCCAGAATGCTATGGAAAGTCAGGTCGGCAGCTTGGCAAACAGTGGATACAGACTCGTCCCCCACCCCCAAGTGTCCTCCCTTCCCCTCTCCACACACTTGCAGCACCCACTTCCCGAATTCCAGTCTCCTCACCTCGCTCCACTATTTGGGAAACTAAATTGTCCTTAAGCCAATAAAGTGTCAGATAAACTTTGCCCATCATTCAAGGTGCAGCCAGCCAGCTCGTCACCTCCAGAGACAGTCCTCATCCCTCGGGAAAGGCAGGCTGTCCTTCTGCTCTGGCACGCTGCTTGCAGGCTCGGTTGCTGGCATTCCTTAAGCCACATAAAGTTCAAGACCCGTTGTTCCCGGACCCCTGCATCAGCAGAGCACAGGCTGTTACAAATGCAGATGTTTTCCTCTGCATGTCCTGGAAGGCACAGTTCAACAGTTTCCTTTCATTGAAATTGATTAACAACTAAATCAACCAGGTAGGAAATAACTGGGTTTACAAGTTCTGCATCTTTCCTCTTAGAAACTTTTCCTCATCTGTGGAAGCTAGCATGAATTAATCAACCTTTACCTTTATTCACAAAAGTATCTCTATTTATTTCTGTAAAAATAGTAACTGTTTTTTTTATCCTCCCAAACACAAACAGCTGTTAAGTTTCCTTCCAGACAATATTTCCAAGAAATGGGTTTGGAGGAATGTCACCGGACAGCACAGACTAAGGAACAAAGGTTACGCTTAAAAACGCTGCCCACTTTCTTCAGTGGCCCCCTTCTTTGCCTTGTTTCAGGTTTTCAGGGTCCAGCGACCTACCTGGACCATTCCACAATGGCCAGGGGAGATCCCTGCCCAAGGTGAGAGGTAGCCTTTCTGGGGTTGCAGGGATTTTCCCACTGTCCAATATTGTTAGAAAGAGCCCAGGAGCATTTAAATAACCTGTTGTCAGGCACCCAGGATGCCAAGATTAGGGAATGCACAAGCCCCCTGATGGCATCCACCTCCTGTGGGCCCTCCAGGTGTCTGCCTAAGTATTTGGCATGTGACCTTCTGCCAGAATGTAACTTCGTCACTGTCTCAGAGTCATGTGATCACAACTCCCCATTCTCCCAAATTCTCCCAATTAGAAGTCATTGCAGGCCAAAATCATCTCTGAAAGTGCTTCTCTGGGGTGTGTCTTGTCTTCTAGAGCTAAAACTCTCTTGATGGGGAGGGATTTGACCCAGGGTCTTAAGGGCAGCCACAGACGCGGAGAATGAAGATCCCAGGACTTAGAAGGTTTCCTGAAAAGCAGGATATGGCACCGCAGAGAAGCACCACTGAGGCTGTCGTCTGGCCCCACAACCTCCTGTAGCCAAATATCCTGGTGCTGCGGGACCCCCAGCAGAGCAGTACTCAGCACCGCGTTGTGAGCGCAAAGTGGGCCACTTCAGGGATGTGCTGATTTTTCTAGTAAGTTTATGTATTTACTCATTTATTATCTTCACCACTTAACATTTCCCTTGTCTAGAACTGAAGTGTCCCAGGGCAGAGATTTTTCCTTGTGTTCACTGAAGGATCACTGGGGCCTGTAACCTGGCACACAGTGGGCCTTCCATAAGAACCCGTCAGATGACAGATAATTTTGCCAGATTTAAGCCCTTGGATTTGTCTGTACTATCAACACAAAGACTGCAAGTCAGGCAAGTAACAGTTGTGTCCTAATAGTATGTAAAACACAAGGTTCTTCCCCGACTGAGGGCAAAGGGTGGTGGCTTTACCCTTTCCGAATATAATTTTTTTTTTCAATCTTGTGATTTTCAGGTGGAAGAAAGCTGAAGTCGTCTTAGCCCAACCTGGACATGGGTGACGGTTTGCACACTCACCTGCACCCTGGGATAAAGTGGGATAGCTCCCGTGGCTCCCTTCTGAGGTCTCCCCTTCCTGTTCCATGAGCACATGGTGGAACAGCGTGCTGGCACTGGCAGGCTGACAGGACAAGGAAGGGACCAGGACCTGGCCGGTCAGGACAATGCTGGGGAAGCCCCAGGCACCCACGCAGATGCCTCAACCCTGGTCTGAGTTGGTGCAATTTGTCAGCATCACTAGGGGATGGAGGGCAGGGAGACGAGGGTCGGTATGTCACACTTAAAGCTCACCTGGAGTTAGGGAGTTGGTGTTTGCAATGGCTTCTAACAGACAACTGTTCCCCTTTAAATTAGCGAGTCTCATTTAAAGGTTGCCCAGCACTTTCCACATGTAGTTCCAATCTGAGTGCATGGAATACAAAGTTCTCACTTGAATTTCATTTCCCGGTTCTTTCTGCACAGATGCCTCTTCGGGTGCCCCTCTTATGCAAGTAAATATGACATCTGGTGAAGGAAACCTGCAAAGGACAGAGGCTGGGTATTAAGGACTTGATTTGCATGAATGCAGCCATCATTCTTTGTTCTTATCTAGTATGTTGATAGGATATACCTCTCAAAAATTTTGTTTTGACAGAAACATCTTAGTGCATGTGAGGAAGCATTGCATAACTTTGCAAAGTGGAATCCTATTACTGCCAGGTGACCATTTCCCAGATCACAGCCTGAATTAGCTGGCTGGTACATCCTGTACATTGGGGCATGTTTACAAATTAAAGCTGGATTCAGAGAGGTGTGACCACTCTGTATCTAGAAAATTAATCCTGGCTCCTGGAAGCCTCACAAACAGAAAATGACACACAAGGGTTAATGCAATTTCCATCCCAGCGAGTTTTGCTTGCCATTATTTTCTTTTTCTCTTCTCCCTTTTAACTGATTCGCAGCATAAAATCTTCCTGGACACCTAATTATCAAGCCAGCTCACAGTCACAGCTGTCTGCTTGGAGAACCCATTAGATGCAGCAGTTGAAGCCTCCATAATTCCCCAAACTTCCCGGTTGTGAATATTAAGAAAAGATTTTTACATGTCATATGCAATTCGAAGGTGGTGTGAATGGCCTCGGAGATGACGAGGCCTGAATGCTTGTCCATCATGCCATTCACTGGTTACAGGTGGTCTCATTTTCCACTCTCAGATATCGGCTGGCTATGACAGCAGGCACTTAATTTGCATGTTCGACAGACAACAAACGGCCCCGTGCATGTCAAAATAGGTGGTGATGCGTGACAGTTTCTACACAATGCTGTCTCCTCTTTGCATGACCTTTGACCTCTCTGCATGTCTTTTTTCCACCATCAGAAAAAAAANTATATATATATACATACACACTCTTCTGTGCTTTGGAAGAAATTTGATACCAAATTGATTATTTTCCTTTCTTCTTCCTCTTCCTCCTCCTCCTCTTTCTTCCCCTCCTTTTAAAGGGTGCCATGCATCATGATTTTCATCTCAACTGCTACAAAACTCTGCCAGAAGAACCTCATAAAATTTAAAAATACGGAGGCTGAGCAGACAGGAAGCTGCTGTGTTGAAACCCATTGTAGTTAAATTGCTTGGAACTTTTTAATAAATGTAACCTTTAAGAGAGAACTCTAATCAGGTTAATTTTTATTTAAGAAGATCATAAAATTAGAATCTTTAAGGCTTTTCTTTAACTTGTGTTAATTAGATTTCTGTCCTTGAAACACTTTTAATATTAATATTTCACCACAGTTTAAAATTGCTTCCTTTAATAGCAGGTATGGCCAGCCTGCATTAAATCTAACACCCAGTTGTTCTAATTCCCCGTAATAAGTGTGGCGAGCCCCTGCCCTGCCCTTTGCTGTCCCCACAACCCTGCTAATGAGGACACGGCTCACAGTCATGCTCGAAGGGTTAAAAGAGTGTGAACCGGAAAGTGCCTGGCGCTGCTGACATCATGAAGGCCCTGGACCTTTGCTTTTGGGGACCCTTGGCAACCTGTACAGCACTCAGATTTCAGCCCTGTGAGGGGCCTTGGGGCTGACTGGGCTCAGGGGCTCCACACACCCCTTGTCTCACCAGAGAGGAGCCTCATTCGCTCCCCAATCCTATTCTGGTGCTGGGTCTTGTTCTAATTAAGAATTAAAGCCTGACAGCAGATAATAGCGCTTCCCGGGTATTACAAGATTTGAGCAGCAGCTGTGAACCCCACACCCGGGGGGCGATTACCCTATGATCACCACACCTGGGGTTGGCCTCCTGGGGGCTCAAGAGGGCGCACCTCTTGAGCTGGGCATCCAAGGGCTGGGCCTGAGATGATGCCGGTGCCTCTCTCCACGGAACCAGCACATACGCGGGCCACCAGGTCCCAGATGAGGGGAAGTTGGCTGGGGGTGACCCTCCACCTCCCCTGGCCAGGCCCTGTGCCATGTAGAGGAAGGAGGGAGCCCAGGAGAACTGGGGGCTGCACCGGCCAGGCATGTCACTGGCAGAGGCCGGGACCTGCCCCCTGCGGCTGCTCTGAGGGCTGCTTACCCAGGCCTGTGGATGCCAGGTGGGAAGGCTGCGGGGAAAGTTCAAAACAAGTTAAAATCACACTATTTCTAAGAGATGGTGGCCAGTCTTGTATGCACATAGCAGGTGGGCAGTTTTCCCTGTTGGCTTCTGCTCAGCAAGGTGACCCAAACAAGCAAGGGTGGGCCCCAGTCACAGGTCCCTGGATTCCAGGTCACCCCAACTCTGCAGCAGGCCCCCTCTGGGGCTTGTGTGTGTAGTGGCACAGATCACTTAAAAGCCCAGCATTAAATCTGGAAAACCCAGGCTGTGGCAGGTTTTTGCAGAGTGCTTGGGCTTCAGGACGGGAGTGTGGGAAGCCTCACCTTTACACATGTGCAAGGTGGGCATCAGGATCAACTTCTGTGTGCTGTCCATTGGGCCATTAGGCAGTCCTGGGGACAGGTGAGGGAAGCTACCCCACATGTTGTGAGCATGGGGACGTGGATACAGCCCGGGCTGTGGTGCTGGACAGCCTCTGTTCAGATTCCAGCCCCTTCCAGCCGTGGGATGTCAGGTGAGCATCTTACATCCTACATGCCTTGGTTTCCTTACCTATAAAAAGGGAAAATAATACGTGCTTTCCATATGGGCTTGTCGCAGAAGTAAGTGGTTAAATCTTCAGAAAGTGTAGTGGGTCCTTCAAAATCTGTGTCCACCAAGAACTACAGAATGTGACCTTCTTTACAAACAGGGTCTTTGCAGATGTGAGGAAAGGCCTCCAGATGGCAGTATCTTGGCTTTAGGGTTACCAGTTCCTTTTAAAAAGAGAACGACTACCAGGAGAGACCCACAGAAGGTGGTGTGAGGACGGAGGCAGAGACTGGAGCTGCGGTCCACACCCCAAGGGGTGCAGGGCTGCAGGCAGCACCAGAGCAGAGGCTTGGGAAGATGCTCCCTCCGAGGAACGCACCCTGACAGCACCTTGTTTTGGGACTTGTGGCCTCTTGACCTGTGAGAGAGTAAATCACTGATATTTTAAGACACCCAGCATGTGATGATTTGCCAGAGCAGCCTTTAGAAATTAATCCTATTCTAGAAAGGATTAGGTGCTGAGTGGCACCTAATAAGGGCTATACAGCTGTTTGTTACATAAAGATTAATAGTACTTTTTAAGGGACCAGATACCTGCATAACTTTGAGCAACTCTTCAATCTGGAGACTAATATGTATAAATTGTTTAGCTGGCAACTGGCATAGATGAAGAACCTAAAACATAGGAATATTGTTTCTAATACTGACTCCAGCAGCAGTCCTGTGGTTGAGAGGCATCGACACATCACTAATTATAGGGCAACGTGATGATGCCCTGGGTGTGATGCTTCAAAACAGGTCGAAATCAGGGACACATCTCAAAGGGAGGTGGCTCCCGAGCAGAGCAGTAACAAGGGTTAAAGAGTTGTTAGGGCCCAGTGGGGGCGGGCAGCCAGGGGCAGGCTGCTAGCGTGCAAGGCACACATGTGTCTGCCAGAAGGGAGTTCACCAGGAATAAACAGCCCTCATCATGTTGGAGCCTCCAGGACGGCCTTTCAAACTGCATCAGCCCCCAACCCCGGTGCCAGAGTTGAGCACAGCCCCAGATTTAGCTTTCATTATTTCTGTGTGTTTCTTTTGGTATTTATCAACTATAACCATTACCCTGAAACAGCATATATTTTGTTTTCCATTTATTTAAATGGCATCATCAATACCTGGTGGGGGCATCCGTGTTCATGAGATTCCTCTGTGCGGGATTTGTTGCCCTGTTTTGTCAGTGTTAATACTGCACTAGAATGTGCACTATACCTGGATTTATTGATTGATTCTCCTGCCTAGGTTACTTAGGTTGATTCAAAGTTGTTCTTTGTACACACTTTTCTGCTATGACTACACGTGCCCAGGTCTGCAAGTGAGGCCTGAGACAGAGGGTCTAGAAGAAGGCAGGGGGAAGGCTGGAGCAGAGACCGTGTGCGTGTTCCGCTTCCTGGATATGAAGCCCCTGCTCTCCAAAGCAGCTGAACCTGTTTGTTTCTACTTCCACCAGGATTTGTCAGTGTTCATCTTGACAAACATGCATATTTTCACAATTTATACATTTTGCCAGTGGGGCGGGTAGGAAAGAAAATTCCCTGGTGGTTCTAACTTGTGTCCCTTGATTACTAAATTAATAGAGCTTCTGGTCATTTGTTTTTCAACCATTACACTTGTGGACACTTTCAGCTTGTATCATGTATTCGTAGTTTACTTTGCTGTTTAGCTTGTTCTTATTGATTTGTAGGTTTTTCTACACTCTGAAGATTGCTCCTCTGTTGGAAACATCTCTCAGGACCTTTTTCTTATTTTGATTGTGACTTTTGCTGAACAAAATTTAAAAATGAAATAGAAGTTATTAATCTTTGCATTTATAGTTCAATCCTTTCATTTTATTAAAAAAAGGTCTTCACTGTTTTTTTTATAATGTTTTAAAATTTGCTTTTCACATTTATATCTTTACTCTTCTGTTTATAAGAAATTTTTTTGTTTATAAAAAGTAGAATTCTTTAAAAAAAACTAGTCATGTCAGTTTTTTTCATTGAAATCCCCTTTCCCCATGGAGCTCTCTGCTACTTCTGTCATCTATGAATTTTGCGTGTATGTGTAAACCACTGTCTGTGATTTCTGTTCTATTTTTTTCACCTTTGAAGAGAAGCCACCAGCTTTGTAATGTATCCTGATATCATGTAAAACAAATCTCCTCATCTTATTTATTAAAATGTCTTGACTATTTGCATTGTTTTATTCTTTAAAACTCAGTTGGTCAATTTTAATTTACCCAATTAAATAAAGCTGAAAATTTTATGGAATTTTAGTTGGAATTGTGGGTAATATAAAACCTAGTGGTTACTGACATTCATATATTATATTTTTCCACCCAAAATTTAGATATCCATCAATATCTTTCAATCCAGTATTATCATTTTCTTCCTTAAATTCTTGCACCATTATTTGCTAGATTTATTTTTAAGTAGCTTGAATTTCATCATTATTGATATCTGGCTATTCAGTAAACTTTCTAACTGTCCATAGGTGATTACTAGGAATGTCCTTCATTTTGTATCTTTATCTCATATCCAGCAGTTTGACCTTAATCTCTTACTAGCCATCATAAATTGTCTGTACGTGCTCAAGGTTTCATATGTAGACATAACATTGTCTCTAAGAGGAAATTTTTGCTTTCTTCTCCAATTTGCATGATTTTTATATTTATTTGTTTCTTATCTTGCTTTATGGACAAAGAACATGTATAATCTTGAGTTCAGGCAGGAAAAGTGGGCATTACTGTCTCATTACTGATTTAAAAGAGAATACTTCTAATATTCTCCCATTAAGCCTGTCTGTGGAAGGTCATTGATGGATGTTCCAACTTAGATTAAGACATTTTCCTTCTACTTTGCAACCAAGGTGTTGAAATTTATCTAATTTTTACCTACATCTTTTGGGAAGTGCATATTGGGATGAACAAATGCTTTATTTTCTAATGTGTGAATTAAAACTTTGATTCACATGGCATTCACTCTGACGCAACCTGCCAGATATGGACCCCAACTTTAATACAGCGGCTCATCTATCACTACTTGCAGACCAGGCTCTGTGTCATGGACTGAATCGTGACATTGCCATGTTCTAGATGCCACAATTTCTGGCTCATTTTAGCATTTCACAATGTAGTATGTTTTGGTAGTTTTGCAGAACATTTTTTATTCTGGCATATTTTAATAATCCCTAAATTCCAAATTAGTTTATGTCTTCTAGACAGCATAGGATTATAAGTGAACGAA